TTACATCGGGGTGTCAAACTCAATTTCATTGAGGGCCACATCAGGGGTTTTTGACCTTGGTGGGCTGTGTGGGACATGGCCAGAGTGGGTGAGGCCAGCTTGACATCATGCATGTTGGGAGGGGGCGCCTGTGGTGGCCCAAGTGCTCTGCCAGCAAAAACAGGCTCCCGAGCTCCATTTTCGGCTGAACTGGCCTCCTGCAACCATCTGCTAGCGAAAACAGAGCTGGGGGGGGGCACACATGGCCTTTGTGATCTCTGGTTTTGGTTGGGCTGGCCTCCTGCAGCCCTCTGCCAGAGAAAACGGAGCTCAGGAGGGCTGCACTTGGCCCTCTGGAACTCCGTTTTTTCTGGCAGAGGCACCACAGGCCGATCTTCAGGGTGGTCCAGTGGGCCAGATCTAAGCACCCATGCGCTGGATCTGGCCCCCAGGCCTTGAGTTTGACACCCCTGTGTTGGATAAACAGTGTTATGTAGTATATTTAGTATATTTAAAAAGAAAAGAAAACCTCACAACTTAAGCACCATGCTCTACCAGCATTGTAAATTTATGAAAGAAGATTGTTTCATAACTTTATGACTATTCATTGTAAAGTTGTGTATATGTGTGGCTGCTTAAAAAAAGTTTTAAAAACCATAATTAATGTAAATTTGATGGTTTCCTGAAAAAACTTATTTTAAATGATTCACATATTCTGGCCATTAAAAATTCATACAAATTGCCAAATTCCAAAACAGGGTGCTTTCAGAAATGTATATAGGTAGTTCTTGGCTTCATTTACTGACCATTCAAAGTTACAGCAACACTGAAAAAGTGACATGATGTTTTTCACACTTGTGACTTTTGCAGCATCTCCATGTCATGTGATCAAAATTCAGACGCTTGGCAGCTGGCATGCATTTTTAACTGTTCCAGTGTCCCAGGCTCGTGTGGTTGCCTTTTGCAACCTTCTGACAAGCAAAGTCAATGGGGAAGTCAGATTCACTTAACAATTGTGTTACTAATTTAACAACTGCAGTGATTCACTTAACAACGGTGGCAAGAAAGGTCGTGAAATGTGGCAAAATTCACTCAACAACTGTCTTGCTTAACAAGGGAAATTTTGGGTTCAATTTGTGGTTGTAAGTCAAGAAATACCTGTGAAACAGTGTTGTGAAAAGTTGAGTTTGTCTACTGCAGTATTTAGGAACCTCTGGCTTTCTGGATATTTCCAAACTACAGCTCCCGCACCCATATATCCTGTTTGGAAGCATTGTGGGAGTTGTAATTCAGTATTATCTAGAAGCCTACAAATATTTGCCCCAATTTAGTGAATCTTAACCACCATATAAACAAGCTTCTCAGAAGGCTACAAGAAGCAGCTTTGTTGATACATAAGCTAGTTCCATAATGGCTTCAAACAAACTCAAACACAAGTTATTGTTACAATGTAAACTAAGCAAAACAAGGTAATTTTGAAAAACAGATGGACCTGGAAGGAAGCAAATTAAAAGTGAGTCCATATGCTCTTTGTCTGTACTCCATTGATGAAATATAATATTTTTGTAAAGCATATAAACTGAAGACTGTGGTGGGTATATATAATATTATACTAGAATGTTCCCTCGGAAGCTTGATTTATAACTGCTGATGAATTTTTTTTTAAAAAATACTGTACTTCTGAGCAGACAAACAAAGGAGCACAACCCTGCTGTTGTTTCTGAATGTCATTTTAAAAGTTCAAATGATTCCACTCTTAATCTTATAACTGCGGATATTCTGTCAGCTTTTGTCCCCAGGTCCTCAGTACTGTGAAAAGGTGGTTTAATTTATCACCAAAATAGCAATACTTGGATTTTTTTTAAAAAACCTATTGATTTTTAAATTGTTTTTCCCAATAAAATGAACACAACTCTGTGTCTCATGAACAAAAGGTTCTCAGAAGAAGATATCTGGAGCTTTTCTTCAGCTGTTTTGTTCCTTAAGGGAAGAAGCTCGAGCTATGGTTAAAAATTAAAGTTTTAAAAGATGTTCCAGAATTTTTGTGATTGCAACAGTTTCTTCATGTTATGGAAAGAGACAGTAATCAACTTTACAATTAAAATTATCATGTATTAATATCTTTGTAGGGTGCTGTTCTTAAAAGACATACTAAGAACAATTACTTGAAAAAAATAGCAATTCTCAATGAGACTCATTTAATACAACCATCCATTAAACGATTCTACATTTCTTATTTTTATATGTTTACATCTATTAGCTTCATTTTGGCCCCAGAGAGGAACTATGGTGATTTACAGTATAAAATGTAAAGTAGTATCAAAATACACCTATTTAGAAAACAAATCTTAAAAAATAGAGAGTGAAATGAATTATACGTAAAATAATCCAAAAGGTGTGTGAAATGAGAAAGGTTTAATGACCATCCAAAGCTAGGATTATTAGATACCTGAAAAAGCAAAGGAGGCCAAGTTAGGAGAGTGGGTGGGGGACACACTGTTTATGTTTCTTGGCATCAGCAACAAAAATTACATTGAAAAAAAATGCAAAAAAGGATGAGATATATATGTGTATGAAATCATTTTTTACAGTTTCATAAAGACTGGCTCTTCAATTGCATGAATGTGCTAGAGCTAGTTAGACAGGAAAAGCCTTCAGCGTGTAATTGATTAAAATCTTGTCAATTTCAGGCAGCAGTGGAGGGTATTAGAGGTTTTTAAACACTCACAATTGGGAAAGCTAAGTATAGCAATTGCTAAGTGGGAAATCATGTGACCATGACTTACTTTTCTTTTCCCTACTCCCCCTATCCTTTGGAATACTCAACCCAGCAGTGCAGGGATACCTGACTGATAAGACTAATCAACTTCACACTTTCCAGCCTTTCTTTAGCCATTCCTAGCCATTCTCCCAACCTCTGGAATACTCAACTGATGCTGGGATAATTAGCAAGAAGAGAATTAATGTTTGTATTTATATTCATTGAAAAAGAAGGGAGTAAGCAGGCACATAACATAGAGTACATACCAAAAACAATGCCACCAGTTGTGAATGCAGTTGGCAAACAGCCTGTGTATTCCCCGTTATGTGTCTGTTTATTCTCTTGTAATCCCTTTCTCTCCAACCTGTCTACTCTGCAAAGGAGATAGGAGAGAAAAACATGTTAGACAACAAGTCAATGAATTCTGACTGTAATGGCAATCATGGGACTGAAAGACCCTGCAAAGATCATAAATGCAGGCATTGGTCATAGGTTTTTTTTTCAGTACCTCCCTAATTTCAAATAATTGCTGAACAAGATAGTCAATAAGCAAAGAGTATAGTTTTGACTATAATTAATGTATTGTCCAGAAAAGGGAAGACAATTGGTAGAATCCATTCTTTTGCCTTTTATTGTTTATTCAACAAATTAAATAGTTAAACAGGATACACATGAACCAATACTGTAATTCAGCTACTAAAAAGGCAAATACTATATCAGGAAGCAATAATTGCAACATAGAATTCAAATCAGAAGTAGTAGTTTTTCCAAACTATGCTACCATAGTCGGACACCTTTGGGAGTATTGTGCCCAATCCTGGATTCTATAATTGAAAAGAAACAATGTCAAATAGGACCCAGTTTAGAGGAAGGCTACCAAAATAAAGGGTACAAAAAACCAATCCCTATGAAGAAGCATTAAAAGATCAGGATATATCTACACAAAAAATTACTAAGGATGAAAAAGTAACACCCAGAAATGGGTGGATTCAGTCCCCATTGCTCTAGAAGGCAGGATTTCAACCAGTGATTTAAAACTACAGGAATGGGGTTCGAGCTAGACTTCAGAAGGATCTTCCTGATTGTATGAGCTATTTTTTACCAGTTACCAGTGGAACAGGCTGCCACATGATAGGTTTGAACAGAGGCTTGGATGACCATCTGTCAGAGATTCTCTGATACATCTTCCACCATGGATGCTCTCTTCAATGCTACAGTTTTAAGATCTTAAGAGTAAAACCATTATATTGTGAATATCCAATTTACTCCTAGATCAGGGGTGTCAAACTCACGTCGTCATGGTGGCATCATATGACATATCGGGACTTTTCCCCCCCTTTGCTAAACCGGGTGTGGACGTGGCCAACGCATGACATATCTGGCCCACGGGTCGGAGTTTGACAGCCCTGTCCTAGATGACAACAAAGAATTAAATGCTTTTGAATTGAAAAAATGATATCCTGCAAGCAAGGCACTAACTTCCAACAGCATTTCTATTTGGAATACTGTAGTTCTCAGCCACAAATGACTTTAATAAACTGTTTTAAATGAACATGATTACCTCTGTAAAGTGTACTATAAGTCTTGTTGAAGGGGCTTCCATAATAGGTTTCAAAAAAAAATCAAGATGGAAGCTATGATGGTGCAATAAGGTCCTGCCTTTTTGCAGTACACACATAAAAGGTTGGCAAGATGCGCCCTCTTGCGGCCAGGAGGACTGCAGGTGGGAAATGGGAACGGTACAGCTGGCATTCCCTAGTTGTAGCTGCCACCTTGACTTTCTTGCTATCCCTGCAATGATTAGGAACTGTGTTTCAGACCACCACTTTGGGTTTTGGCATTGCAAACCATTTCCCAGCGTAGGAAGCCCAGGTGATCATTAAGATTAATTATTCAAATACAGTAATGGCTGAAAAGTCGATTAAGTCTTCCATATCAGCTTTGCCCATTAGTAACGGAGCAGTGGTGCTTGAAGATAAAAGACTACTTTATGGTAATTTAAAAGGACAGAGATTTTAAAAACACACTCCCTATAAGAACTGTACCCGCAGCCATAGAATATGGGGGAACTTGAGAGGTACACGACCTGCCCGTTCTTCAAGGCTACTAATGATTCAGATGATCAAACAAGGCGGATAAAATAACGATAAAATAATAGACCGTTCCCATTTCCCACCTGCAGTCCTCCTGGCCGCAAGAGGGCGCCTCTTGCCAACCTCCGTCTAGGGCCGCCTCTGGCCTCACTTCCGGGCGGTTGCGCCCACTGGCTGGAGCTCGGTTTTCTTTTTCTGTTTCTTCTTCTGCTCTTGTCAGGCCGGGCCAAGGTGTCTCTCGCACGGCGGGCGAGGGCAGCCGGTCTCGGGCCGGGCCCTGACTGAGGTGGCGGGGAGTGGGCCGCGCGAGCCGCATATGAGTGGATGGAGCCGGGCTCTGGGCTGCAGCGGAGGGGGCCGGGGCTCGGCGGCGGAGGCGGCGGCGGCGGGCTGGGCTCGGCCGGGGTCTCTCCGGCGCTATCGGGGCCTCAGGGCCGCCGCAGGAAACAGCCGCCGCGGCCGGCCGACTTCAAGCTTCAGGTGATCATCATCGGCTCGCGAGGCGTCGGCAAGACCAGCCTGATGGAGCGCTTCACGGACGACACTTTCTGCGAGGCCTGCAAGTCCACCGTAGGTAGGAGAGGGGCCGGGGAGGGAGGGAGCGGCAAGAGGCGCCCGATCGCGTGAGGGGCGGATGCGGGGGAAGTGGGGGAATCGGGGGGAAGGCGGCGGGATGGGGGCAGCCAAGGGCGCCGTTCAGGGCTGGGACAGGGTTGGGTTTGCGCTCCTTGAGCTCTTCTTCCACCTTCTCTTTTCCTGGGGAGGCTGCTTCCCACTTATGCCGGGGAACGTCCCTGGCCAACGGCTGGCCTGAAATCCTCTCCCCGTCCTTCGCTTCCAGCAGACGCGCCCAAGCGACCCAATCGGAGAGGCTGACAGTGACCCCCCCTTGAAGGATGGATGTCGAGGAAATGCCACTTTTAGAACTTTGCTTTTTAAGAGATGTGTGCCTTCCAACTCCCAGGGATTTTTTTAAAATTTATTTATTTATTTTATTATTTATTTTATTTGTCAAAAGCTTACAATATAACAGAAACAAGAATAAACATAAGTTTAAATACAAGAAATAGGAATTAATAATTGGGGACAATAGGACAGGAACGGTAGGCATGATTGTGCTATATTATTATTATTGTTATCATTATTATTATCATCATTATTATTATTATGCAAACAAACAAAAAAGCTGGATTCCCCAGCTGCAGAATTCTGGGAGTTAAAAAATATATATATATACACATCTTAAAACTGCCCCGAATTGAGTAACACTGATAAGAGTGCCTTGTTTTATCAACAGGATGGGAAGGGCGGTATTTCTTAATTCGTCGGGGGAAAGAAATGAAAAATAAGGCTGCCAATACATCAGTCCTTTTATATACTTTTGTGGGCACTTAAATCTGGGATATTGTGCCCGGCTCTCATCATAAATAATCTTATTTTGCTTCATAAAGTGTAAATTAAGAACCTAAAATCCTCCATTAAAATGACTAGAATTATTCTTTCATAAAGGAATGTTACAAAAATTTCTGTAATTAGGATTGGTTATTTAGAAGATTAGACCTTGGAACAGTCACTCACACTCAGCCCTAGGAAGAAGGCAATGGCAAGCTACTTCCAAAATCTGGACAAGAAAACTGCAGCAACTTGTCCAGACAGTTGCCACCTCAAAGGCACCCTCAGAAAAGATATTTAGTGACTATTAAAAGGTTTTTTTTTTAACTAAACATCTTCAATAATCACAATACAGTATCAGTCCACTGCTACTGTGGGCACATTTTGAAGCTCTTTTTGATAATTCGGATACAAATCGCCATGGTCAAATGTGATCTATCTGCAAATATTTACAAAGCTTTTTTTTAAAGGCATGTGGCTATAGATCTCCCTTGTTTTATTTCTAGATTGTTGTGTTCAACTGCAGCATGATAGCTTTTTCTAATTGGAACAAGCCAGAGAGAGAAACTTAAAAATATAAGATTGTCTCTTTGGCTTGGTATCCAGAAAAATCTGTACAGTACTAACAGATCAGAGAAAGGTTTACTTTTAAAATTATCAACGATTTGAAATACTCCTTTATGGTTTATATGTTTTTCCTAAGGAAAACCTGGGGTTGTCGTGTGGCAGTGCTATGAATATTTTTTTTTAGAAGTAAATTTCACTGTTTGCAATAGGATTTACTCCAAGGTGTAGTTAGGACTGCAGCCTTAGTATTTTAATACAATTTTTTTGAGTGAAATATTTATGGATTACTTTTAGTAATTTATAGAATTCCTGCTTCTAATAATACTTCACACATTTCTTTTGTCTCTTGGGGAACCTCTGGGTTTGTATACTTAATTTGAATTGGAAATAATTTGTAGTTTGAGTTAATGAAATGTTGATGAACAAGCTGCTTTTTGTAAAAATTATACTGACAGTAGTGACTTCTTAAAAGAAATATTCCCTGATATGTCTTGAAAACCACTATCCTGAATTACACTTCAGAAACCAAATACGTAAGTAATTCTAGCAGTTTATTGTACCTATAAATAGATAAATTATTCTTATTGGAATAGACACATTAAGAAATTAATTTCCTTAATTGGACCAGCTCAGGTTTATCTTTCCTAAAATATTTGTGAAATAAACATGTTTATTGCTTGTTTCACAGGCTATTTCATAGTTGTGGAAAAAATACAGCTGAAACTTGAGAGGAAGGGGATGGATTTGGCTTTTAAGGTGATTGATACCTTGTTTTAACTGTCGGCATTCTTTATTCCCATGAATTCATTTACTGTAGTAGAATCTTAAAGCAATCATATAATATTTAACTCAAGATCAGTGATGTTTGCATGCTTGTGAGACTTTATAGGACTGTCCACTGTATAAAATTACAGGGAATTTTTCTATATGCTTCTGATTTTACTCATGTTAATGATAGGTCGATATACATTTAAATTGATTTATACAAGATTCACTGAAATATATTTTAATACATATGATTTGCATATACTACATTCATTAGATTTTTAAATATGATAGTTCACACTTTTGATTTTTTTTCTTTTTTATGATTAAAAGGTGGATTTCTTTTTATTTAATGTTGGGTTAGTTGCTTTAAATCCATGTAACAACTCAGAATATAGTTATATTATAGGTATAACAACATTACTTTGGCTTTGGTCCTATACCTTGAAGCATATCTCGTTGCAATCAGGAGGGCTTACTTCTGTGTAAACATGTACCAGGTTACAATACATGTTACTTTTAATAGTAACTTACCAACACTCATATGTACGCTAACTTTAGAAACTGGAAACAAAGATTGCAGAAGTTAAGGAATAGCTCTGACTCATATAATTTAGTTAACTTTTGTATTTGTTTGTAGTGTTTTAGTAGCTGGTATTTCCTACATAATGTACAAAATGCCTCTTAAAAATCTGGAACAGGAAAGTCAAATCCATTTCCCATCTTCCTATCTTGTGCTTTACAATATGAAAATGGTTATTGTTAGGGATAACATTGTTTACCCTAACTGGTTTGGGTAAAAATAATAAATAAGGTATCATGGTTTGTTAGTTAAAGTGTGTGTAACTTTAACTGCAAGAATGTAATTAAGGGTGTGGTTGTAAAAGCACTATATAAGAAGCGAGGCAATTCCAGCTCGCTCTCTGTCTTACTGATCCCTAATTACTTGATGGATTGATGCCTGCATTCTTGCTGGAAAGGGGAGAGAAGAAGAAGTGTTTATTTTTCTCAACGGAGAGAAGATAAGATTTATTGTAAGTGTACTGACATTGGCTATTCAACACGGACTTTGCAAATAGAGTATCCCCGACAAGAATTGACTGAAATTGATATATGACTAATGGACCGTTTATTTGACTATGCTATAATTCTTAAATGGAATAAACAATATTTTTGATAGCACAAGCGTATCTGTATTTTTACTGCGTGTTAACTAGAAAACTTATCTCACACATTTACCTGTCTTCCTATCTGACTTCGCTGCACGTTCTGTTTAGTTTGTTTTCCTTAACACCCGTTGGGGAATCCAGGCTTAACAGTTATTATGCCACACAGTCAGCCAAAATGATGAACTCTATTTCTGTAAACCTCTTCTCACATATCCACACTTTGGTTGGTTACTTGATTTGTTGGTTCATTACTTGGTTACTTAGTATTATGTAACTTGGTTACTATATAATACTAAGCATTATATACATACATAATACACATAGTCACATTTTGCTTGGTTACTTGGTTACTTAGTGTTATGTAGCTTAGTTTACTGCATAATCCTAAACCTCTATATGAATATACAAATCACACATGTAAGTTTTTGGGCAAATTTAAATTGTCTAGTTAGTTGTAAATAACATGTTTATTTGATGTGCTTCATTTATCTTTTTCAAGAATAGATGCAGCTGACATGTTGAGCAATATTTTCCTAAACAAATTGCAGGAATAGTGTCAACCAGAAACATTTCAAACTGCAAACTGCAACTCCTCAGGTCTTCCTACACTATCCTAAGTAGTCTATTTCCCAAACCAATTTTTCCATTAATCATCAGTGGTTTGTATTGACCAGTCTACTGCTATAGCCCAACAGTACTATAAGATTGCCACCAAGATTTTAGCATTTGGCATCAGTTGAAAGGAGGGAGAATATATTGGTAATGTTTAATGACAGAATTCAGAATTACCTTTCCTAGGAGCTTCCAACAGCCACTTAGTAAAGTTCTATTGAGCCTGTCTGGAACTAAGCTGCGGAAGTGGTGGGTAAGCATGCGCATGAAGCTGCATATGTAAAAGTGGCGTGCACGTACGTGAAGCCATCACCTCTGCCCACTGCCTCCACCAGTCCACCGAGCCAGAAAGATTGGAGACTACTGCTGTATAACCTATAAAGAAAAATCATCACAATCCCTGACACCAATGTCCCCAAAATATAAGTTTGAAGTCAACTTTAGTATCTTAAATGTAATTTGGTCTAACACCATTACAAAGCAATTATGAAAATGAAATGGACCAAACCTCCTTCAACAAACCTAATACTTCTTAAGGCAATAGATATAAAGGCTTTACTACTGTATTTATGGGTAGTCTTAACATATGACTGGTTATTAATGACTGGTTGAAGTTTCATCAGCCTTGGAAATAACCTGGCTATTTGTGAAACTTCCTTCCTCTATAGTCGCATGATCATGATCTAGGTCCTTGAACTGGTTGTCAAGTGTCCCACAATCATGTGATCGCCCTTTTCAATCTTTGTTGGCTTCTGCTCCCCACCAAATGTGTTTCTTTCAGTGTGTAGAGAGGAGCTAAATTCCATTGGTCAAGTGGAAACAGCTCACGTTCTGAAGATCTCAGTTCCATTCCTGCACCCTGCTGAAGTTGGTCCTTTCTGTGCATAGTGCACATGGAAAAGATCTGACATTCTCCTGCAGGGTGCAGAAACAGAGCTCCAATTTTGATAAATTCAGCTTTGTTTCTTTACCCCGTGAAAGAAGTTCTCTTCCATATATGAAGACCGCTGACATCCTTCAGCAGGAAGTTTTTTCAGCCAGCCCGAGAGACATGAGGGAGCTGAAATACTGCAGGATTTTCAGCTCCTGAGCTGAGAGGCAACACAATAAGTTGCAGGGTGTTTCAGGCACATGGGGAAGCCTGGTATAGGCCCCACATGAGTCTCTCTTCATTCAGGGGCTGAAAATTCTGCTTGGATTTTGCAGGGAGGATTTTCAGTTTCTGGGCAGACAGGTATTTGACATTTTTCCTTAAGGAAGGATAGAATTGGTTTGGTTTGTTTGAAACTGGCTTGTCCACATCTAATTCAAAATCAAGAAATATTTTTCATTTAATCCCCATATAAAAAGCCAACATTTGAGCCTCTGCATTTCTCTATAAAGGTTTTTGTTCCAAGTTCAGATTCAGATCTACATTGTGCAGGCAAACATAGTGAAATATAAGAATATATTATACTGGAATCAAATAACCCATTGCCCTAAATCAGTTGGCAAGCAGTAAAATGAGCAATTTACTTAAGTATGTTGTAACTTTTGGTTTTAAGACTGAACAACCATTTATTCTGGATTGGATGATTTGTGACAGCTAACAAAATTTATAGTATACTAAATAAATGCTGGTTTTGAAATAAGAATCGAGATCAGTGTCGCATTATAAACATCTGAAGTAGTATAAGAATAAGCAAAACAGGGATGATTTTATTTTATGATTAACTTCACTGTTGGTTTTGGATAATAAACCAATTGTGATTCTTATTATTTTCAATGATTATATGACTTGTAAGATTTATTTACTAGGTTGCAGGAAAATTGCTGTGAGAATTCCACATGATTTTATCTTTGCATTTTTCAGAATACACTGACCTCTATGCTAATAGGTGTGACTTGTAGAGTTACACAGCTGTAAATAGCACTGATAAAACATGGTTTTGATTTTACCGTCTATTGCAGCATTATGAAGGCCATCTTTATAACATTGATTTTGTCATGCCAGGCCACATCTAATTCTATATTTGCTTTTTTGCCCTTTGGCCTACTTGTTCCCCAGTTGACATAGCTTACATAGATTGCAGTTCTATGCACTGCTATCTGGGAATATACTCTAATGGATGCGAAGAGATCACTTCTGAACATGACTTTTGACGTATCACTCAAAAGGATGGCCTTGTGAAGAAACAAAACCTTCTATCATGAGTAGCCAACCCCTTTAATTGCTTTCGTGTGCATTTTTTTCCTCTGCCTATCATAATTCTCACCTGTCTTTGTCAAGAAGTGCTGCTTTTATGTTTTTGTAAGCAATCCTTGGGGTTCCTGTCCTAATACATAAACAGTGCCAAAGAGTAACTGCTAATAATTGTCTCTAAAATAGTACACTTAATTTTCCTTCCTGTGACTTAGAGATAAAGCCTCTAGATTGGGGGAGAATGTAAGTACCTCAGACTGTTTTAGCCTTTTGTAAGCACTTCATGTTCAAATGGAATGAAAAAATAAAAGTGGCCAATGACAATGACGCAGGAAGGCGAGAGACAAGCAATTTTGTAACTCTTAGATCAGATAACCTACATCTAGAAACTTGACTTAACATGACTTAAAATCCAAAAGAGCAACTGGACATGTATCAGACTTTCATTGGTCAATTTTTTTAAGAAAATTTGACCGATTTTTTTCACTGATCAGTTTTTTAGAAAATTATCAAATTATTACGCCTTAACACCTACTAGAAAAGTAAAGGACCAGTATTCCTTCAGGCACATAAAACAAGTTGAATGCTCTGCAGATCTTATCAATATTTCTAAAAACTGTTTCTGTTATATTTTATGTACATTAGAGAACATTGTCTGTGTATGTAGCATATCTTTACTTTGTCAGTGAATAATGTTTTCTGTAAGTAATGTATTTTTAATAAATACTGTTTGAAGCCAGTTATATGGCACTCATGGCTGACCATTTATTTCATCCATTTGCAGTGTATTCTTAAGATCAGATTTCAATACAGTATGGTATAAGTTACAATACTTGGGGAATATATGATATATGGAATTAATAGAGGATCATTTTTTGAAGTTTTGGGTTTTTTATTGACAATAGTGAAATAATACCACAGAATGCCACATACGTTCTATGAGCACACTAAAATTGAACAACATTCCTTTCAGTAAGAAATCAGCCTTGATTTTTCCAGCATGATTTTTCCTTCCACTGAGTTACAACAAACTAGAAGTATTTTTTTTTAATGTAAAGTTTCAGATGGTTCCTGTAAAATTGGTCAAGGTTTGAGGCATGTCCTGTTTAAGTAAAGTAATCATAACATCGAAACCTTTATACCTATTGAAAGCATTTTCAGTTTTGCAGTGCTTAAATCCATATACAATATCTGTCTTTTATCTCCCTGATAGTACAGGTCCTCATGTTCAGCTTGCTTATATATGAACAGGAAAAATATTATCATACTTGTATTTGCATTTGCTGCTTATTCCTCCTCTTTTATTTACTGTATTTTATTTATAGGTGTTGATTTTAAAATCAAAACAGTAGAACTAAGAGGAAAGAAAATTAGATTACAAATCTGGTAAGTAAAAAAAATGCAACCAGCAGAATGGTCTTTTAAGTTTTGTGTTCTTGCATGGTTGTGGTATGCTACCTAATATAATTAACTTTTAACTCACTTGCTGCTGAATTTTTTTCTCTCACACAGCATATAGCCATAGGAACAAGCAATTTGTGAAGCAGTGATCAGAAAGTAGAAATACTAATTTGAAATGGACATATTATATTATTTATTGAACTGTTGTGTTCCTATCTTTAAGCCAAATCAGTTTACTACAATAATTCATAATCATTAAATTATTGTTTAAGTTACTTAAAAATTATTAAATTTATATGCTGCCCAACTTCAAACTTCAGCAACTTCAAAAAAGATCAATTAAAACAAGGAGAATATATTTTAATGATTTCATATTTGAGCAATTATCAATTGTTTTTTGGCTTTTAAAAAAGCTGAGTTGGGTTGTCTAGCTTTCTTTTTACAGAAAAACATACATTCTCAAGGAAAAATAATAGCGCAGCAATTCCAGCATCATTTTTTGAATCTAAATATTATTTAATTGGTAGTTTATTCACAGTATTACACTTGGATAGAGTTAGGAAAGACCCTCCTAGCTATAATAATTGCTTCCACGAAAAAATGAAATGAAAAAAATACTGTTCTGTGATTGGTGATTTCTAATAAGAAAATATTTGGTTTTAATTTCTTATGGCCAAAATATGTGTGATGATTGTCGTAAGCAATTTCTACGTTATTTCATTTCTGATAAAATTTTAAACTAGCACGTTACATATCACAAAATTATTCACAGTGGTGTGAAACGAGCTGTTGTGAGAGATTAATCCAGCTTTATTTAGACAATCTTCTGTAAGCTAGCTAATGTTATTCACCCAGTTTATTGATAGTATTTCTTGCATAATTAATAGTAGTAATAACTAGTAGATATGTTAACTGTCTAGTAGGGATGAGGGGGATGCAGTGGTTGTTTGGATAATACCATAGAAACAGTTTAGTGATACTTCTCTTGCACAGATACAGCCAATTCAGTTTACTAACTCCTCTTGGCAGGTCACCATCAAGTCTGTTTGTCGCACCTTGTGTTTGTCTTGCTTCCATCTGAGTTAATTGCTGTTGCATCTTTCGTATCATCCGTTACTCTAATATTTGAAAATTATTGGCATGACTTCATTCCTCATCTGTGTTCCCATCTGGAATCCTAAGGCCACAGAATTGGTACTTGAGCCAGAGTGATGGTTAGCCATGATGGTTTGTACTGAAGCTAATAATGAGGTAATGTTGATTTTTTAATGTGCCACTGTCTTTTATAGTACAGTTAACCAATTATTGTGGCTTGGTTAGAGTGATACAGAACATTTTAGCTTTTGAAAAGCTACTGGGTATTCAGTCCCTATTAGCACACAATAGAGACCCTTTTAGTTCTGAAATTCTCCATGCATAGTATTTCTTTAAATATTCCAACAAAGGTTTTTTAAAATACATCAAATTTAGGCCTTAAATAAATGAAATAGTATTTCATTGAAGCTCCTATGAGATTTCTTACACTTTAATATATAATAAAATGTGTTAATGTTGTTTGCTTAGTTGTTTAATACTCAGACTATGTATATAAAGGTTTTCCTTGAAGATATGGGGAAAAAATCAAACCCTCCCTGTTGTTCAATCTTCTCTGTGTTCCATGTCATTCAAATATCTCTACCCTTTCCAGGAGGAAAAGGTTAGAAATTACATTAGAAACAAAGACTGAGAAGGTGTAACAGACCTGGGTCAAAGATTCAAAATAGCAAAAGGTGAGCATTCTTTTCAGAATGCCAAAGATCTTAAATAATAAAAGATCCTTTCCCCAGACAGATTGCCATGACTATCTGCAATGCTAAAGAATCAAAAAACCCAGAACAAAACAGGGTGCCTGACTCCAGAGCGTCCCCTTTGGGGATTCCAGTTAAACACATTTTTTTGGAATTCCTAGAGGATGGGTACATCTTTTGTGAGCTTTTGTGGCACAAGGCAAGGGGCCTGTGGGGGAGGGCTCAATGTGGCCACCTCTGACCAGCAGATCTTGTACTGTGCTCTCAGAATAAGTTTCTCCTCTACTTCAAACTGCCCTTGTCCTGCATTCTTTAGTCCCACCTTGGAAATGACCATACAATTGTTTCCCCCCCCCCCCCCCCCCGATTCTGTGGAGATGAGTGAAGCATACAAGGGTTTTTCTCCTCCATTTGAGTTAATGAAGATATACTTTAGATGAAAGACATTCACAATACAAATGTGACTGACACTCTGTATTTTAATATTTGGGCAAAATTCTCATTCAAGCTGTAAGATTGTCCTTTCTCCACCATTTCCCAATTCATATTCTAAAAACTGGGAATCTTACTCTCTATCATTGTTGCATAATTTTCTTAAGAACTGAATTCAGGTGTAGAATTAAACAGAAAGAATGGTAAAGAATATGGGCTTCAAGCTTGACAATGTTTCTGCTTATCTTTTATTTTCTGTAAAAAATAAAGCTGTTTAGCATTGGATGGGAGAGCATCAGGGAATTCCAGATTGGGTGTGGGGGGTTATCCAGTTTGCAGGACACTTTAGTTTCAGTTACGTAAATCAGTATGGTTCATTTTAGTGTTCCTCTATTTTGTTACCTTACGTTTAGCACAAAACAGTTATTTAATCAAAGTTAGAGTTCAAATATATGATTTTCATATATTTTAAGTATGCCTCTCTTTTTAAGCCTTCTGTTGAACAGATGGAATTAAGACTTAGATTTTCAGCAAAAGTAGAACATCAAGAGATGATATTATATTAGAAATGGTAGTGTTACTCCCATTATGTTAAGAATGGTAGTACATACTTATCACACCTTATTTGCATTCTATTTAGAATAATATTTTCATCATCTAGGCAGTTTTTTTTTAAATAGTTGAAAAACATTGTTAACAATGGCATACAGCAGGATTTTCACATATTGCACGTTAATCTTTTGCTAACTTATATGATAAACTAATGTAGGCAACATAAAAAGGTATAACTATTAAAAGAAAAATGTTTCCCTTAGAGCCATAAAGCTTAAATATTTGGCTCCTTACATAGTTGTTTTCTTCTTAACCATAGGTTTAACAATATTTTTACCCTGGCATCTTCCCTATTTAAAATTTGCTCCCTAAGGATTGTGGTGCCAAAAGAAATATTGTTATTGGGAACAAAGTTTTAAAATCATGTCTTCCCAGACTCTTTATAGGCTGTGCTATCATGAATAGATAAATCAAATGTTGTATTGGATAATTATATTTTAAAGCAACTTCATTTGATCAAAACTTCTGGCCACAGTGATTGCAAAAGATTCGGATCACAATGTAACCTGCATAGAAACAGAAGATTCTATTCATTTTTGTGCTCAGGGCATTCTTCTCAAAATAATGTGTTACCAAATTCATCTTTCCACTCCAGTTCTTTGTGGCCATTGTAAAAGAGTTTGGATCTGAGTTATCTTGCCTTGGTACCTGAAAGAAGAAAAGCAATTCTGAGAAACATTACTGTCCATTTACTTTCTCCAGTAGCAGGAAGTCATCTTTGGCTCCTGCTTTCCTCTGCATATCCCACACTTCCTTCAGCCATTTGACTTCATGGACATCAAATGCTTTTTACTGTACAATAATTAAATATACTGTAGCCACCCCCAATTTGATAGCATTACTTTGCTCAGATTAAATAAAAATGGAAATGTCTTGACAGCAGTGAGTAGAAAACTGGCTGTGAAAAAGTGCCACCAAATACCAAATTTAGCATTGTTGTTACTATTAAGGATGAAGAACAAATTGGGCAGCCTATCTTTTTGGTATCCTTTTGGATACCAAAATGAATAAGGTGAATATAATTGCAAAGTTCAGTGGCATGAAAATGATTACGCAGCTTGAGCCTCCTTGTAAAAATTATCATTGTAATAATAAATGTACATGATAAGGTCAATGATAATGATGGATACTGATAATGGAAACTAATCAAATATTTGTTCTCTGTCTAAAGTGGGAGACTAGCTGTTGGGTTTTTACATATATATTTCCTTATTCTGCACTATTTAATAAAAAGTTATATTTGATCTATGGATTCAATAGAGTTATATCTGTCCTTAGAATCTGCTAGGATTTGTAAATGGAGAACTCAGGGAATGCATACATGTTTTGCAAAGTATATCTGAGGTGTAGCATTGTCTTCTGTGGAATTTTTCTATATAGTATTGCTGTTTTTGTTCTTTGGTACTATTAAGTCTTCAGTATATGCATATTGAAGTGTTTGTGGCTTGTCTTCCCACTGTAGCTATTTCGTCTCTGTAAACATTTATCCTGTTGATTGGAATAACCTTCAAACCAACCTTGTTAAGAAAGAGATATTGGGGGGGGGGGGGAATTTTGCTGGGCATACAGAAACATTTTTGTATGTGCATTGAGTTTAATGAATCTCAGTCAGAATGTTCATTTACTCTGTCTACATATGTATTGAACAGTCATATGGGGGTTACCAATTGCTAAGGGCTACTAGTTGTCATGGGAAGAGTGTTGATTACAAGATGGGTGGGGCCATATATGGAGTGGGCCTGGATCTGAGGAAAAGAGAGAGTTCTTTATGCCTATTTTAGAACGTACTTTATGGTTTTTGTGTATTTTTCCCAATTCAAGTTTTCAACACTCATGCTCTGAGGCCCCAGAAAAGGGTCTTGGGGAAACACTGAAGTTCAGTTATGTGACATCTTCAATTTCTGACGGAAATAAATGTTTAGGCCTCCTTTGCCCTCCCCATGTTTCCAGGCCAATAAAATTGATTTTCTTAAATGGCTGCTTTAATGTTAATATCAAGAATAATTTCTCTTAATAGTTTCCAGGGATCAATGCCTTCCTATAAACTTCAAGTCCTCAACCATTTTTATATTTTCTGTAACTGTCTGACCCCGTTTAATGGGTTGTCTATTGTGACCTAAGAATGTGGCTTAGCACATTTTGCAATCTGTCTTGGATAAGAAAATACAATATTTGGGGAATCTTGATCAAGTCTATTATCTTAGAAGAACTTACCTTGAAGGTATTCCTGATGCTGAAGCTGTGTAAATCCTTTCCTAGTCATATCAAGACAAAAGCTGTTCACAATATGCCAAATCAACCTTTTGACATCTAGAAAATGTAGATAAAAAGAAGCTTCTCTGTCCTGTATACCCAGCTGCCCTACACTGCCTCTTTCCTTGTCAATTTATTGGAGTTATACTCTTTTCCTTATATGACAAAAATGAAAATTGTAATGTGTTAGAAAAGGTGCTAATAAGGTAGTATTTGCTTTTCCTGGTCAGGATCTTAGAAAATAGTACTGGAATTGCAAGCTTCTCCTCATCAAACAAATTATGTTGATAAACAAGAATGCCACTTGAAAGACTAGTGTTATAAAAAAGATCTAACTTTCCACATTCAGGAAAAAGATGTTCATAAAGTCATAGATTTTTGTGTAGATAATACTTAATATTTAATTATTCCAATATTTATAAAATATGCACTCTAAAATTATTAAATGCCTTGTCTGAAAAAGTACTTATGATACATTGATATTTGAGTGTATTAATGTTAGGTATATATGTATGTAATATGGGTGTGTTTATTTATAGGAAAGTATTGTGCTTTGTTTAAGGCAACTGATTATCTGGAAAAAAGATTAGAACTTCTTTTCTTTAGGAACTTAAAGTATGCATATTTTTATGTAAGGAATTTTATAAAAACTTACAGCTTACAGGGTAATTTCAACTTTATTTTATCTATTTATTCAATTTATAACACACATAAACACATACAGACAAAAAATACCTAAGTGGCTCTGGGATGCTTATATAATGAGGGGGAAAAAACAATTAGGAATAAAAAGAAAATAAAGGCTATTTATTCACAGTTGCTCCATCTGGAGCCATTTATAGTGACAGTGTTGTTATAGTAAAGTTAGCAATTATGGCATTGTTGGCAAAGAAAACTAAAAGAATAACCTTAATAAGTATTCATTTCTTCCTAGTAAATCTAAAACTGTATGACAAACTGAAAGGACTTTCTCTTTCACATGAATAAAACCTGTAACAGGATTCCTAAATACTTTTATTAAAAATTGTAGTTATACCTTAGTGAAAATTAATAGTTATTCTAATTCAAGCAGGATTGAAATTCTAAAAACAAACTCTTATGAACCTTAACACCTTTGAATCTCTCATGGGAACCAGGAGAATTTAATTATGAGAAAATGTGTTCATTTTGAGATAAGTGATTTGACTATTAGGGAACGTGAAACATATGCTCAAGGCCTATCTTTTGCCATCAATGCTGCCCATGAGCAAATGGAGCAGGTCTGGATACTTCTCTGTCTTGTACTATCAGAGGAAGCCATAAAATAACACCCATATCTGACTGAAATTCTGAGATTATGTAATTCCATGTCTCATTTCTTTGAACTTTCACTTGGCTTATGCTCTTTTGTTGTTGTTGTTTTTCAACATACCACAATATATGTCTAGCCATAACCGGTGAGATTCTAAAGTAGAAGCTAGGCCACTAATAACAAGATTTATGGTCATCATATTGCATGCTTGAATCCACAGTCACATAGTTGTCTTGTATGAATTTACTACTGTAATCACTTACTGAATATATACATAGAAACAAAATAGCTTCTGCATGCATATTCCTTTCCAAGAAGTTATTTTCTTTCTTTTTGTGTGTGTGTGTGTGGGGGGGGTGTTAGACCTTATCTGTTTGGTAGGAAAAATGCAGACCTTAAGATATAAAATTTATTTATTGTAGAAATTTGAAGTGATCTGTAAAATGGAAAACTATTTTATCCACATTTGCTGCTGCTTCCTAGGGACACAGCAGGTCAAGAAAGATTCAACAGTATTACCTCAGCTTATTACAGAAGTGCCAAGGGAATAATATTGGTATATGACATCACAAAGAAGGAGACATTTGATGATTTGCCAAAATGGATGAAAATGATTGATAAGGTAAGCTTCAGTTTCTCAAAATGAACAGGGCTGATTTTGGTCCTTAAAATAGGTTTCATGTCAGTGCTAAATGTAGCAGTACAGCTCTGAAGAGTTCTTCTAGTGCAATGTGGCCATTATGTAGATCTTTGAGTGTTAACTATTAATTCTCTATAGTATTGCATAATCAGGTATTTCCACATTGTTAATTGTTAAAATTGAATGCCTTGTACAAAATTAAATTCCATGAATGAGTTGTATGACCCTTTTAAAATAGGAAATGTTTATGATTTTTACATTTCATTGATTGATATTTGAGCATCAAGGTATTGAAAAGGCTGCTCTCTAAACATAAAACAAAAAAAATAGCACTAAAATTCACAGCTTTTTATGTAGTTATATGTCATAAGTATTGAAATAAAGCCTTCCCTATCTAATATTCTGTACATTATTTTTCTATCTGTTTCCAATTCTTTTATTGTTACATAATAATAGTAAATCAATATACATCAAAAGCCACCAAAATAAAGCATAATCATTCATGATAATATGTGCACAGGTCAACAGTGTGATTTATGAAGAACATACTGGTCAAATATCTTCACTCTCTTTTATATGAAAACTACAGGCTCATCTGGAAACAGTCCATTGTATGATTTTGTGGTCTCTCTCTCCCCCCCCCCCCCCCCCCCCCATTTTTCTTTCCAGTATGCCTCAGAAGATGCAGAGCTACTATTGGTTGGAAATAAGTTAGACTGTGAAGTGGACAGAGAAATTAGTCGGCAACAAGGAGAAAAAGTAGGTGAAGATAAAAGTCAACATTTATTCTTGTGGAAATGTGAAGTTCACAGAAGCTTAACACTGAATATATTTGTATTATCAAATCTATTTCTGTTTGTTTGCCCTTAAATGTTTCTTAAGGCTAAGGTCTTACAAGTGATATACAGAATAAACCAATAATGTGATCACTAAGGATTTCTGATTAGTTTATATCAGGAGTCTATATCTCTTATGTCAGTTTCCAAATCTGGATATGTAAAAAATGGAATTTGCAAGGAAATAAAGATTTGCTAGGATAGGACTAGAAATCACCATAATGACAGTAAAAATAAAATTTTGAAAGACTAGATCAGCATATTTTCGATGTTAACTGTTTTTTAAAAAATGATTTTCAAAATATTGCCTATTTATAGTTAAAATTAGTTAATGTTATTGTAACATACGGTAAGTTTTAGGGTTATTTTTCTCAGTTCAATGAAAGATTATTTGATTTTTGAGACTGAATTGACACAGTAATATAAAACTTTTGTTGTTTTTTCCCTAATAGTTTGCTCAGCAGATAACTGGGATGCGTTTTTGTGAAGCTAGTGCCAAGGATAATTTTAATGTGGATGAAATATTTTTAAAACTAGTTGATGACATTTTAAAAAAGGTAAATGATCTTTATACTGTAAGAAGCTAACTTCCTACAAAATTTAATATAAGTAGACCTAGAATTCAATGGGATTTAGTCAGAGATAATTGTATATAAGATTGCAGCCTTAATATGTTGACTGTTTAAAATATATTTATGAAACAATTTTAGGAGCTTTTAATTGCTGAATTATTTCTGCTTGCTTCAGTTGGCAGAAATAAAAATGTTTCCTAGGATAATTAATGTGAATGAATGTTAATGTATATAAGAAATAGGAAATTTTATGGATACTACTTTAATGTTACTTAAGAAACTAACATAATGTTAATTTAAGGTACAAATGTAGACTGGGTTGTAAAAGCATTCTATGCTTACATTCTAGATTAGGTATCTCGTACTTACAGCTTAGGTATTACATAAGGCTCTTCAAGTCATTTTGTGTGACTCACTGAAACACAGTAGAAGAGAATTCAGTTCTGTCTGTTTTGAACTCAAGGTTGACTATGGCTCTGAATATAAAACCGAAATCTGATATTCTGAAGAATGAGAAATGCTGTCAGATAGTGGCTAAAGTAACATGATTAAGAAAATAACCTTGTTGCATAATAAAAATTGTTTTTCTATTTAATTAATTTATGTTTAATGGTATACAATGATATTTTTTGTTTTCTTCTTTTTTTATTTAAAAGTGCCTTGTATGAAAAACTAAAGAGCTGCCATTCTCAGGCTAATTAACCAGTCTTTGCATGGCATTTATGACTATTTTAACTTGAAAATAGATGTAAAGCAATATCAGCCTTGGTTACTTGAAGTTATGGGATTTCAACTCCCAGAATTCCCCAGACATACATCTTCATGTGTTCATAGTTGAGGAACATTGATGTAGAGAGAATATACAGCTAGTCCTTGACATATGACCACAATTGAGCCCAAAGTTTCTGTTGCTAAGCAAGATAGTTGTTAAGTGAGTTTTTCCCCCATTTTACGAACTTTCTTGCCACATTTGTGAAGTGAATCACCACCATTGCTAAGTTAGTAACACAGTTGTTAAGTGAATCTGGTTTACCCATTGACTTTGCTTGTCGGAAGGTTACAAAAGGTGATCACATGACCCCGGGACATTGCAACCGTCATAAATACATGCCAGTTTCCAAGTGTCTGAATTTTCATCATGTGACCCTGGAGATGCTACAATGGTCATAAGTGTGAAAAATTGTCATAAGTTTCTCTTTTCGATGCTTGTGTAGAACTGTTGTAAGTTGAGGACTACCTGTACTTATAGATGTAAGTATATCTGCTTCAGTAGAATTCTGTGTAAGATGCTGCTGACGTGTGTTTTTGGTGTTCATTTAAGATGCCTTTGGATGTAATAAGAAATGAATTGTCCAACAGCATCCTGTCCCTACAGCCAGAACCAGAGATTCCACCAGAACTGCCTCCTCCAAGACCTCATGTCCGTTGTTGCTGACTTGCTATTGCTTGCCGCAGAATGGAAAAGATGACAAGCAAAAAGAAAGGGAGAAAGCTGTCTCATTCTGTACTACAATCATATGGCTGTTGTTTGTTGCACTTTGATTCAGAGTCAGAGCTACACACTAATTTGTAAATATGCAGATATGCAAACTAGATAGGATAAGACTGTAACTGGTTAAATATTGCTCTTTCCACACTTTTTTTCACTTCTCTTTTCTCAGCCCTATAAATATTGTACAATTTGGTGGGAAACACAGTACAGCACTCCCAAACCTAGGATGTAAGAAATTAAATGCATACTTAATTATCCTCAACATAAATGTTGTAATAGTCCTCAGCATAAACAGAATCTCTTAGTATATGGTGCTTTGATAGTTTTTTAAAAAAAATATTTTAAATTTCAACTCGACATATATAAAGCTTTCTAAAGCAGCATTATCTCTTATAAATTCAAATAAATTTCTGGTAAAACACTTATGTGTATGATAATTCAGAAGTAAGTTCTTGGTCCCTGGGTTCACAGGTTTATTCTATGGTAGGGATCGATAGGTTTGAAGCCTTTGAGTGCAGTCCATCAAGTATCATAATAGGCCTCCAATCACTTCAACAGGTGATTTCAGGCAGGTACTGCTGAAGTGAAGATGGATAATATAACAGAAGGATTGAATTCTGAACACACAGGCAAATAGTGTCAGCAGTACTTCTTTATTTATTAACTTTCACCTTTGGGGCAGGGTGTATGCGGCACTGTGTTCTGTGTAGTTTTTAAAGGATGAATTGGCACTTTGACCTAATTAGTGTCTCAAACATAAATTAATGAGCAGTCAGATACTGTATAAAGCAGAGAAATATTTGCAAATTATTTTTTAAAAAAAGGTTTAAGAGTTATTTCTTCTGTCATAGATAAATTTGTTTAAAATTATTTTTAAACCATTTCCTATGTTATAAGGAATAATGTATGTTTATTTGTCTGAAATAAATTGGAGATATACACATATATATGTGTGTGTATGTGTGTGT